AATAGCTCATGTGAAAATGCAAGGTTGATGACAATACCGCATTCCTCGAGACGATCTACCGACACAGAATCCACATGATTTATCTCCCTTATCAGCACAGCAAAAGTTGACATGGTCGTCATCATTTAGTTATTGTGCTTCAAGAAACTGAATAGATCGGAAAAATGTTGCTGTGCCGACAAGAAAAATAAATCATGTGGATGCTGTGCCGGTAGACCGTCTCATCCACACCACAAGCTGCAGTGACGCCACTATGACATTACAGCCCTTGTCGTGCATTCTCAATTTCCATGACCGCCCTGACAGGATCAAAGTGAGGTAAATAAAATATATAGTTACATTATCGCATCCGTAACGCGTAATCAATGTAACTTTCCCAATCTCTTTATTAGGATTCACTATATTCAATAATTTTTTAAGTTCATCTGGTTGCATGCTAGGCCCAACTTTAATCCCAATAGGATTACTAATTCCACGAAAATACTCGATGTGTGCTTCATCAATATTCCTAGTCCTATCACCTACCCATAAGAAATGAGCTCCAACGTTGTACCACTTTGGACTTTGAGTTTCTGGATCTTTCAACAAACGTGTCATACATTGTTCATAATCAAGTATTAATCCTTCATGTGACATGAATAAATCGACACTATTTAACGAATTGGTTAAAGGAGAAAATGGCACGTCCGCTCCAATTGTATTCATGAAATTTAATGTGTCGGTAAGACGATCAACTATCGTTTGGTATTCTCGACGCGTTCCTTTAGAACGAACGTGATGAAGCGACCATTCGTCCGGATTATGTAAATCTATAAATTCGCATTCAGAAATAGTTCATTTATGTAAATAAAACATTATTATATACATAAATTACAATTACCTGCAAATCCTGACCCAATAATTGATCTAACATAATTAAGTGTTGCTGCAGAATGGAAATAAGCTCTAAAAGCCCGCTATAATTAATTTCAAAACATGTAAACACGTACATTATTAAAATCATTAAAAATTACCTTAAAAGGCGATCTGGATCGGGTTTTCTATCAGAAGGTTCATATCCATTAATAATTTCACCACGGAAAGCGTGAATTTCTTTTCCTTCATACATTTCCATTTCATTTGATCGAGGTTTTGCGTATTGTCCACACATCCTGGCGATTCGAACTACTGGAATTCTAGAACCCCATATAATTACCAAACTCATTTGAAGAAGTACTTTGAGTTTTGATTCGATAGGTTCCTATCAAAATTAATATATGACAAGTCTAAATAATCGCATATATATAGTTAACACTTACTAAACGAACCTACCGTATTTTCGCGAAATAACGCCCATGAAAATTTTGGCCCGAATTAAGTTTAATTTAGACCAAAATTCGAAATTATACCCTTGCGCGTTATTCTGCGAAAATACAGTATGATGTTTACACCTTTAGGATATTCAAAGTCGATTAGTTGTTTAACGTCAACATTCGGAATTCAAGCATGTCGAGAGGAAGGATTTAAGCAACATATACTGCCACTGAATATCCCATTGATCAACATTAACCACATGATCATTGAAATTATCCCGCGCTGTGATTGGCTTGCTAATTCCAGCAGTGTTGGCCGATGACCTAAGTCATAGTCATATCGATCATATTAAATGCTAATAAATAAAACTTACTATGATTCTTACTATATTAAAAAGGTCATAAAGGTCATGGTCATTTAAGATCATAGGCCAACGCTGAATTCCAGGGACAGCTGACCGAGAGAAGAATGACGTTAAACAACTTTTCAACTTTTAAACCACCCTATGCGTACATTATTCTAAAGACTAGCAAATGAACTGGTGAACTGGTACATAGTGCTCTTAAATCTGTCTTCAAAACTCTAACCCTAATATAAAAAAAAAAAAAAACCCCCATATAATAGGTGCAAATAAGGATTGGAACCGTTTAATGTTTCATAATTTCGAGCTGTGTTATGCTGGTCAACGAGCCAAATTATCTTAATGCTAGCTGAACTAAACGATTAACACGGTTAGACAGTTAAACGTGTAGAATTTTTAGGCGGCTCCAATCCCTAAATGCGTAGGGTGCGTTTCGGAACAATGTGTGAACTACCTATTCTTTTAAATCTAAAACCCCTGAAACTATTTAATTGTTCCACCAAATTAAATTAGGTTTAGCTTGCGTTGGAGATAAGGAATTACCTGTGAACAATAGTCAAAAAGTTCAGCGCAGTCGCCACCTTGTAATAGAAAAGCCTTATTAAGCGCGACTTGTTCGAGTTGATGACGAAGTTTGTTAATCTTTAAGGATCACACAATTCGTAATATATTTTCGAAATTAGCATTAAACCGTTAGCGAACCATTCTTGACCATAAAGTATTAATCTACCTCTGCTGGTGTTACCAAAGGAGGCACATGGTATAATTTTTCAGTAACTCTCTGTAAATGTTCTTGATCTTCGTAAGAAACATTTTGTTTGATTTTTTTTGTTCTCCAAGTAGAAGGTGTCCACGCGTCACCAGAAGTATAGTGGTTAGAATTTTCGTTGGTTACTTGTTCGTTATCAACGCCCATATTATTTTAACCGGTCGTTTTAAAAAATTTGAATAAAAAATAGTAGTGCAGAGGTATACATTATATAGGTATCGTATGTGTAACGATAAAATTTATCCCCGCTCATCTAATCTGAAATTTAAATGACACGTCTTTTTTAGGGCACCTACCTAAATGAATTCAATAAAAAATCTGATTGATTAGTTTGATCAAACAGATTTTTTATTGAATTCATTGAGGTAGGTGCTTGAGAACGCCCTTAGTCAAAAAATGGCACGAAATCACAATGCTAAATCAATTTAAAGCTGATTTAAATCTTTTATTAGGTCATGTATTTAGAAGATATAAATATCGCAATGACAATGTTTTTTAAAAATGTCTTAAATCAATTTAAAGCTGATTTAAATCTTTTATTAGGTCATGTATTTAGAAGATATAAATATCGCAATGGTAATGTTTTTTAAAAATGCTTTAAATCAATTTAAAGCTGATTTATTAGGTCATGTATTTAGAAGATATAAATCTATTTTTAAATCGCAATGGCAATGTTTTTTAAAAATGCTTTAAATCATTGTAAATCATTTTTAAAATCATGATTTCTCCCTAAATGAAACATTTAGTTCAAAGAAACCATTTTCAGACGTGCACGTCAGAATTGTGTGCATATTGCAGATCGTAGATGGTCAATTAACCTGACGCTCATATAGCACAGATCCTATTAATAAATTCGAAAGTTTTTTAAAACTTCTAGCAATTATTTCTCGATAACTAATTAATCAAATTCAGTAAAAATTTTTTAATTCTATAGTTTTGTAGAATTAAAATAAAAAAAATTTCATTGAATTTTGTTTGGTGGTTATCAAAAATCATCATTAGAAGTTATAAAAAACTTTAAATATTTTAGAAAAAAAAAAATTGAGTAAATTTTTTCTTTTTTGAACCTTAAACAAAGATTTCTTGACAGCCAACTATCAAAATTCGATGAATTTTTTTTTACTTTTAATTCTGTTAACTTGTATAATTGAAATAAAAAAATAATTGAATTTGAATAGTTAGTTATTAAGAAATATTTATTAAAAGTTAAAAATTAATTTGGCTATAGTATTTTTTTTAAAGATATCTAAACTTTGAATGAAAGTTATTTAATATTTACCTGGTCAAATTCGATCAATATTTTTTTATATGTATTAATTCTACATAATTACAGAATTAAATAAAAAAATATTAATTAAATTTGACTAGATAAGTGTTAAGTTATCTTTATTTAAAGTTTAAATATCTTTAAAGAAAATACTATACCTAAATTTTTTTTTTAACAACCTGCTATTCAAATTTGATCAGTTTTATTTTATTTTAATTTTATAAATCCATAAAATCAAAATAAATAATATTCATCAAATTTTGTTATTAAGAAATCTTAAAAAAATTATTTTTTTTTAACAATTATTAAAATTTTTAACTTTTTTTTTATTAAATATGGCAGATTAAAATAAAATATTATACAATACAAAAAATAGACATGCTACTAAAAAATAAAAATTTTTAAAGTGTATTTTTTAGAGTTAGAAGTTAGGGTTAGAGGTTAGTTTTAAAGTAAAATTTATAATAAACAAGTATAAATGAGTTTTAAAGAGTTAAATAGAAACCCTTATCTGATTTTATTATAATTCACAACAATTAACTAGTTTTTAACCCTTTGCTATATAATTATAAAATAATATTATTTTAAAGATAAATCTATTTGTAATAGCTTGTTATATACTTATTTGTAATAGTTTGCTTATAACTTAAAATTTTACTAAGTATATATGTAGATTTGTGAAATTGTTATTTATTTTGACATACCTCAAAAAAGGTTGTTACACAAATTAAATGTATGTTAGTCAATTGCTCTATCCAAGAGCCAATCAAAATTCGAATATAATATCCTACAAAATTATATACAAGATCTGGTTTGAAAGTAAATCTTCTATAAATTAGACCTGTACATAAACCACAGGTCTCTATTAAATAAAACTTGATTGCTTATTCTAAATACAAGGCATATATATATTTTTGAATTTATCTGCTATAATATAAACAATCAGCTATGCATATATTTCTAATAAAATAGATTAGATTATCTGATATAGTAAAAAATTGGCAAAGATGGTGATTATAATTATATAAAAGCCTAAAACTACCTTTTTTTTTTTTTTTTTTTTACTTTGATAACTTCATACAAATTTATTAAACGTATATAAGCTTAGACTAGCTAAACTATCTAAAATCATATTCGGCTAATACCCAGCTATTATAAAAGTGCCCAAATACAGTTATTACACTGATATTGGCCAACAAATCCTACATGCACTGCTACATGTATTTAAAAACTTGCTATAACCTAGTACTCAGCTACCTTTGGCCTTCAACTTTTCCTATTTAAGTCCGGGCAGAATAGTTTATCTCTTACATTTCCATAAGGAAAGAAAATATATGCCAAATTTACAAAAGAAAATTACAAGTATAAAATCAGACAAAAAAGAAAGAATAAATTTTCTAACTTGAATTCAATCATAAATAGACAGAGATGAAACTAGCAAAAGCCAAAAAAAATACAAATGAACAGAAAGAAAAGAGCAAAAAAGAAAAAGAAAATATACACTATTAAGCCCATATATAAGACTAAAAAATTATATACTAAATGCAACACTTATATATCTCTGCTATAAAGCTTTGCCTTAATGTAAAAACTTTTTTTGATGTATGACCAACCTTGGAAATGATCCAGATCTACATACTAATTTTTTAAGGTAGGACCATGACCATATATATGGTTAAACAAAACATGTGATTGCAATCTACTAACTTGTTTGAATTTGGAATGAGTAAACAATGCTGATCTTTTGATAGAGGTAAGCTGTTTTGCCCACTTTTTACAAAAATTTTGTAAAAAGAGTAAGTAGGTAATAGTGTAAAAAATAGCACTTGTACTCTTCTTTAAAGAACGTATATTCTTCTCTAAAAGTAGTAAAACATATAGAGCCAGGTTAACTGCTAACTTTTTTGTTGATAGGTGATAAACTCTAAACTTGTTAGCAAATAGCATATGAGAACTACTTCTAAATAACAAGTGCTGTCCTCATGGTAAGTAATAAGCTCTAAGCCTGTTAGCAAATAGTATATGAGAACTATCTCTAAATAACAAATGCCAGTTTATGGATTTTATCAGTCTTATACCACTCTTTACTACTATAGTTTACTGTTTTTTGGAAAAAAGATTTGTTGTATTTTTGGTACGAGGGATTGTCAGAAAGAGTTCACATTAATTAATAAATTTATAGTTTTAAAACTACCTTTTTTATATTTTATTATTCAAAACAATATATAAATTTAAATTTTTTTTAAATGAAACAAATATATTAATGTTATTTTATTAATCTAATTTGTCAAGTGCTTTTCTCTCAAGCTATTTATTAGTTAAAATAATATATTACATTTCATCATCCATATAAACTATCTAGCATCATTGTATTCAAAACATTGGCTAAAAGTTTATTAAGTACATAGCTACTGGTATCTATCTTTATTCTTTCTTTATTTTTTAAAAAATAATAGCTTATAATTCTTTTTAGAATTTACCTGCTACAAAATAAAATAAATTCTATTTAATAGATTATCTGATATTAAAAAATCAATAAAGATAGATTTGGCTCTGTATATTTAGCAACCTGGTTAAATACTATATAAAAAGTTGATAGTAATAATTATAATTATGTAAGAGTATATAAACCATCTAGCATTATTACAATCAAGATATTCAGTACATACTGTACAATACTATATGTATAGTACTGTATATAGCACATCAATAATTCTGATCTTTAGAATTGCATAAACATAGTCAAAGTTAAAAGGACAACAATCTGCAGAAATAATTAATTTGATAGTATATATAGCATTAGTTATTACTATAAAAAGTATAAGTGCCAAGCTTTTATTCAATATCAAAAATTAGAAATTGGCTATCTGAAGTCTGTTGAATTTGGAAATCTTAATAAAGTTATTTATTGTAGTTTGCAAACTTATGTGAAATTAAAAAATCTAAACTTATAAAGTGAATTAAGTATTATTCAAATATTTTTATACTTTTTATTATAAATTTTCATTATTAATATAAAATTTTTAATAAACTATTTAGAATCCTCTTAAAAACTTTTGATAATATTGTGTCAAAAGCATGAACCAATATTTAAAAATTATAATTTTTTAATGTAAATAGTAATTCATGATAGTCTCTTTGAATACTTTATTAATGGCAAATTTTTTCAAGACAGAGATAAAAAAAAGATGGCTTTTTGTAAATTGAAATGACAAGCTTATTTTTTTTACTACAAATAATTTGAATTGCATAATAAACTTTATTAAATTGTAATATCTAATACAAACACTTGACTGCTTAAAATATTTTCTGCCAAATAAAATTTATATTTTGCCTAAATGTCATGAATACAGTAAAACTAACACACTATATGATCTAATTGTGCCCAGGTTTTACATTATATTTGTGTAAATTTAAGTTACTATTTAGTACAAAAAGTCATATTTTAAAAATTAAAATCTTACTTGACTTATCACTATACTTGCCTGAAAACCCAGACAAATTATAGACTACAAAAAAATAATTGCTATTTAATAAAGTTTATAAAATATTAGTTTTCTAGAAGTTGTAATTTAAGTGTGAATATACTTAAACTACACTAGTATAATGTTTAACAGCAAGCTAATTATCACTTAAATCTGTTATAGAGAACCAAAATTTAAATTAATAAAAGACAATAAAATATTAAATAAACAAATTAACTTTATAATAGCTATACTATTTTTTACTTAAGTAATTACTAAATAGTACTATTATATACAATGCTATAGTCTTCTTAGTATAAATATAGCAAAGTAACAAGGTTACCTGGTGTAGTAATATACTTTATGAATAGATATGAGATGGATGTGAAGTGTATACTTTAACTTCATAGCAGAAG